GTTTACCTTACCTAACATTAACTGACTAGTTGACAAGATACTAAGCTTCTTAGATGCCTATTTGAGATATAATTCAAATGCACCGAGATGTCAAATAAACTACATTCATAACCCCATCATTAACTACTATTATGAAGTCATGCATGTCCTTTGATAAAAAAAATGTTGGCACTACGTATCAACAACTGATGGATAAAGTGTTCAAGGAGAAAATTAAGAAGAACATGAACGTATATTGATGACATGGTTGTCTAGTTGGACACATATGTTAATAGCATTTGACTGACTTATCAGAAGTCTTTAATCTCTTAAAAGGCTATAACATGTGGTTAAACATGGAGAAATGTGTATTTGATGTAGAGTATGACAAATTTCTCGAATTTATGTTAACTCATAGAGGGATAGAAACAAATTTCGAAAAATGTCAAGTTTTGATAGAGTTGAAAATTTTGAAGAATTTCAAAGAGGTCCAATGACTAATCAAACAATTCACATCTCTCTAACAATTCTTGCCCAAATTAGCTAAGAAAACTTAGCCCATCATTTGTATGATAAAGAAATTGCGAAAATTCATATGGGACAAACACTAAGAAAAGGTATTCTACGACATTAAGACTTTATTTACCTCACCTCTCATTATTTGGAAACTTATCCCTAGATTATCCATTTTGCTTTACTTACCAATCTTAGAAACCACCACTAGATCATTCATGGTTCAAGAAGAAAAGGATGAACAAAAGCCAATTTACTACATTAGCCAAGTTTTGCAAGATCCTGGAACACACTACAAAAATGATAGAAAAGGTAGCTTTATTGTAATAGTCTTAGGTAAACAATTGTAAATACTTCCATATCCACCCAATCATAGATCATACAAATTAGTCGATAACTAAGGTCCTAAGAAAGGCAAAACTTATAGACATGATGATAGCATGGTGAATAGAACTATCAATATTCAACATCAAATATGAGACGAAATGTCTAATAAAAGCTTAATGCCTAGATAATTTTATAAATGAGATGAGACCAAGGGTATGTGGACACTTTATGTTGGTTGTTCATCAAACTAGAAACGAGGTGAAGTCGAGATTGTCCTAAAAGAACCTAGTGATTTAGTAATTGAATAATCTCTACAATTTGTCTTCAAAACATGTAATAACCAGGTAAAATACAAAGCAATAAATGTTGGTCTCCCACTTGCAAGAGATATGCAACCAACCAAAATAAAATGCTGCACAAATTTTCAATTCCTAATCACATTCAATGAGAGGAGAATATTTGTGTTTATTTCTTCTCAAAACTTGTCAATAACAAGAAGTAGAGATCACACTAGATAGTCAACCATTAAAGTGTCTTGTGCCCTTCAGTTAACAAGAATGAATGTTGCAAAACTCAAGAATAATCAAAGTGGATGATGCCCATAATCTTATTCCTACGAGAGAATCTCACTTGAATAACTAATGAAGGCAAAAGAGCTCAGAAGATTGTTTTCCCAATATGTCTATATAGGTGTCAAACTGTTCAGATAAGGCTTCTCGACACCAATGCCAAAAATGTATCAACCTTTCACAAGTTAAGTACATATTGAATGATTTACACAACAAGATATACAAACTACATTCCGACAAAAGAACCTTGTTAGTAAGAGTCCTACACATTGGATATTGTTGAATGATAATATGAGAGATTGCTTTGCATATGTAATAAGGTGCCCCAAATGTCAACAACATGGGAACTTGATTCACTTCACCTAAGAAGACCTATACAACTTCAACTCGTTGTGGCCTTTCACCATTTAGAGGATGAACATTGTTAAGCCTTTTCCCTTACCATGGGGCAATGTAAATTTCTTCTCATAAACATTAATTATATCACAAAATGGGTTAAGACAAAATCCTTAGCCAAAGTAACATCCTGACCAGTACACAAACTATAATAAACATAGAGATACATGATATATTAGTATAGATCTTTACAAACATTTGTAACTAACAAAGACAAATGATTTCCTAACAATATATCTCACAAGCATTTAACAAGGCCTTGGTATCTGACATACAACAAGTTTAGTCGAACACTCATATCACAAATGACTAGGAAGAAGTTGTGAATAATATGATTTTACCATAACTAAAGAAAAGGTTAAGAATAGTGAAAAAAAATTGGGTTGAAGAAGCATCCCAATCCATAAAACAAGAAACATCTTTTAGTTAAAAATTTTGTTAAGCAATTTTTGTTAGATTTTTTTTTCTTTTAACTTTATCCAATATTAATTTTCACACATGCTTGTACACTTAGATTATCAATAACATGTTTATCATTGTTATTACAATTTCTTTGTAATAAATTTTAATTAAATAAAACTTCACTAATTTGACCTTATTGTTAATTGAAATTTAATTAAATTTGATAATATTCAACTAAATTGACCTTAATTTTGTTGATGTTTGATCACAATTACGTAATATATTATATTAGTAATTATAATATACAAACATATACTATAAATAAAAAATTTAATTTCTTTAAATATATACAGATTTAATTTTATCTTAAACATTTTTTATAATCCATGCTAAAAAATATATAATAGCATGGGACAATATTTTTAAGTTGGTATTAAAAATTGAGAGATACTTAAGAGTTGAAGTGGGTTTTTCCATAGAGAAATATGAAGATTCTGTTTTGTGTGATGTGGTGCCTATGGAGGTTTGTCATTTACTTCTTGGGAGACCATGACAGGTATGATAGGAGAGTTATGCATGATGGTTTCACTAATAAGTTCTCTTTTATGCATAAAGACTGCAAAACTACTCTTGCACCTTTGGTTCGAAGAGAAGTTAGTGAGGATCAACGAAAAATGAGAAAAAAAAGAAAAGAAGAAAGAAAAGAAAAAGAGAGAGAAAAGAGAAAAGAAAAAGAGAGTGAAAAGAAAAAGAAAAAAAGGAAGAAAAAGAGAAAGAGAAAAAAAATCAAATATATTTATAAAAGAATTATATTCACTAATATTTTATATTATTATTGTATCTCTAATTGATATGAAATTTCATACCATCTCTTTATTTTAAGAAAGATTTTTATCACACTTCTTCGCCTTAAAAGAATTTTTCATCATATCCTTTATTTTAAGAAAGATTTTTCATCATACCTTCTTATATTTAAATGGATTTTTCTTTATCAACACGTGAAAACTATCATTTAATTTTAATTATTTATATATCATGATATTATACTTACTCATTGCTAGTTAGAATTTAGGAAATAAATAAGATAATAATCACTAATTAGAGCGCATTGCTAGTACATATTTATCATAATTAAATTTTATAAAATACATGAAGTAGCAACAACTTTATCATTGTTCTCACGTGTGCTTACACATGTCACAATAAATTTTGTATTTTAATATTTTATATTATAAGTCAAAATGAATTTCACTTAGTTAATCAAATGTTATAAGTTACATGTGTAAGTTTGAAGTGGGTTTATAAGTTGATACAGGATATTTTTTTCTTCAGTTAATTTATTTTATACGTATGTAGGTATAAATATATAAAAAATACTTTAATGAACTACCACACATAACTAACATAGTAATTTTGAAAAAATAAAATAAAATAAAGAATACTTAAGTTAGCTAACCTATCTAATCTATCATATATCGACTGCAAAATTTATATATCATGAGTTCAAAAATTTACGTTTTCATTACTTTCAATCTTTATTGAATTTTGATTCTTTCATCTTCTTTTATTGAGTCAAAGAATTATTTTTAATAAAGTGACTTTCTATATAAAAATATAATTTAATAATGTATAATATAAGCTTTGGACATTAAATTAAAGATAACGAATTGGGCCAGAATGGGTCGGGGAGGGTAACGAGCCCAGTCCAAAAGGACTTGTAGACGACCACTTGGTATTCTTGAAGTCTATGGAGAGAAATGAAAACTTTGGAACCAAGGCATGTCTAAGTTTAAGGTAATGTGTTTTTAGGCATAAAACAAGTGATTAACAAGCACAAACACCTCGCGGGAGCCTCATCGTCGTCATCATCATCGTCATCGCCTTCTCGAAAGATCGCCAGCCTGAAATCCATCTCCGGTGAGTCAAGGTGAGCACTTTTTCTCCGATCATTCCACTTCTCGTCTTTTTCCTGCAGAGCTCTCTAGAATCTCCCAAAGGCAGATCTCTTCTATTTCTTCTTCTCTTACTTCTTCTCGCTTCTTCACACTAGCCACGCCAAATTCCTGTACTCAACCTAGGTACCACCTTCCGCTGCTAAAAGTTTTTGCAACATTCAATGGCACTTTTATTTACTACTCCTAATTTAATTATGGATTCTACTTTTTTTATTATTATTATTTTTTAAGAAAAATAAGCATTTCCGGCTTCATTTGTCGAATTCGTTTTCATATTTGATTTTCTTTTCCCATGGGCTATCAAAATCTGGCCAATCTTTTTTGTACCTATTTGCTTTAACAAATCTCGAATATATTTTGTATCCGTGAAGCTCTGCGTTCATTTTTGTTGGATGTGAACATAGCCGTAGTGGCGTGTGATTGCATGTGCATCAGGCAACATTATTTTTGCTTTATGTTTGGATAAATGTATCACCAACATCTGTTAGTTCCTGAAAACCTAATTGATATATTTAATCAAAATCTTATATTGGAATTTCTCGGATAACTTGTTATTTACTGGGTTTGTTATGGTTTAATTTATTGACTGCATATGGAGATTTACTCGGTTTTACATTGCATATCTTTTGCACACTGATGTCTTGTAGCATTGCCGGCCATACACACATAGTGTGTTCTTATGCGGTTTTTGATGCACTGTTCTATTTTCTACTGATGCCTCGAAGAATCTCTTTCACTCTTTGGGTGATTAATATGCCCTTCATCTTCATTGTGTTGCGTTGCAGCTACTTTGGTATCTTTTAGTCTGGGTTAGTTCTGTCGAATTCTTGGTCCAAACGCGTTGCAGCTGAACCAACATATGGCGGGTCAGTGCTCCAATGAAGGCTCCAGTACTGGAAATATTTTAGCAGAATGTTCAGATTCAACTGTTCAGCTCAATATCAAGACTCTAGATTCCCGCATCTACAGTTTTCAAGTGGACAAAAATGTAATCTATAGTATTTGATCCTGTTATTCTTGTGTTTTTTGAGTCCTATTGAGAGGTTAGAGTATAACCCTAAAAACTGGTCTTCAAAATCATTTCAGATGCCTGTTTCATTGTTCAAAGAGAAAATTGCAAGTGAAATTGGTGTTCCTGTTAGTCAGCAACGACTGATATTTAGAGGAAAAGTTTTAAAGGATGAGCACGTTCTTTCTGAGTATCGTATCCTTCAGATTGTATTTTTTTCCATCAGCTTCATGCTTAATGGATTTTTCTCACTTTTAAGATAATTTGTTTTGTCATGCAAGTGAATGCATTATTTATGTTCAGTTTCTATTTTTTTCTTTTCAACATCCTTATTAGTTTAGCTTTTGGAAATTGGGTTGCTTGACAGAAGGAAATGCTGTGACCTGTAGCAGAATTTTTCATAAATGGAGAAATGAGTCGGTATTTTTGAAATTCAACCATAATACTCATCTATTTATTTTATAATCAAATCCTTAACCATTTAAGATATTGAGAATGGGGATACATTGCATTTAGTTGAAAGACAACCAAATCAGTCACAGGCTTCTGGTACAAGTGCTGATGAGTCAACTGGTACAAGTGGTAACAGAGGTATAACTTCAGGCTGCAATGATGGTCCTTTTATTCTTTTCCTTCCTTCAGGTTTTAAGACATTTTTAAATATCAGACATCTGTTGTAGTATTGTACTATGTTAATTATAAATTTCATTGCTTGGAAGGAAATGATGTGGGCTCAGGGGCTCCTCGTAATCGAGTTGGGCAAATTTCACACAGTGTTGTTCTTGGAACATTTAACGTGGGAGAGCAAGGTGAAGGAATTGTTCATGATCTCACTCGGGTTCGTTACCGTATACTTTGCATCTATCTTATATAGTTCATAATCATGCATTCTATTCTATTTTCAGGCTGGTACTGGCATCAAAGGTTTGCTTTGATATTGCCTGATAAACATTATGTACTGTTTTCAGGTTATTGGACATGTTTTAAATTCTATTGGAAACGGTGGCCAGAGTACAATTAATGGTCCTAATGCTATGCAAACTTCTTCAGTTAGTACCAATTTTGCTTGAATAGATGATAATGTATTGTTATATTTTTCTATCGTTTGTGTTAGTTCCTGTGCTACTGTATTTCTATAATTATTTTCTTAACCATGAGTGACTGGATTAGTTTTACATCCATTTTATTGCCTGATTTCTCCTTGATATTTGAGTTCTCCTTGCACTTAATTTTGCTTGCATTTTTCAATTTCATCTTCTTAGATCATGATGCGATATCATGTTGTGGTATTTATTTCAGGTGGTTTGTGTTTTGCAGCATACAATTATTTTGTCCATTGTCCTAATAGTATCAAATCTCAAGTACCTTATGAATTCCTGATAAAAAGAAGTACCTTAATTTATGAATCTTTATTTTTCTTTTTATTTTTGGTTCAATGAATAGATTTTTATTTTCCTTGCAAAACTAACAACATGGCATTGTTAAAACGTAATTTATTATTATCAGTTTAATTTGTGAATAGAATATATGCAGAACACACACTTGTACTGATACACTTTAAAGTCGGTAAATCGTAAATGTTGTTTTTGTTTCATGCATCATTCAATATGTTTCCTTTGAACTAGGTTCGTGTTGTGTATCAGGCTCATCCCGGGAATGAAACTGAAGGAATGCATGCTGGAAATCAAAACCCAGCAGGAAACCAGGCACCATCTGGACAGACATTTCATGGTCCGACATTCCAATCTGTATCTCATGTTGTTCAGATCCCTGTGGCGGCAGGGGCCATACCCCTCCCATCTCTCAATGCAGTAGGAACATGACCTCTCTTTTGGCACTCAATTTTTTATTCATGATGTTTAACTTTCTTTCTTTCCCCTTCATTTCAGCCAATTCCTGATTCATTGAACACACTGTTGGAGTTTATGAATCGCATGGAACAGACACTGACACAAAATGGTGACAATGTAGTCCTTTATTTTTTTAATTTAAAAGGAAATTAAAATATTTATATTTGATTAATGCTTATGCAGGTCACCAGTCAAATCTTTCACCAGCTAACACTGGAGATCAGCGAGTGGAATTGCCTATTAATTCACAAGGGTTGCCAACACTGGAAGCATTAATTACTGTCTTGCATCATGCAGAACGGTTACTTGGTGGTCAAGCTGTTGCTGCACTATCTGTAATTAACACATCTCATTTCCAAATATTCATTTTCCCCCTCTATTATCTGCAAGTATTAGAATGTCTACTGAAAGTTTTAAGATTTGAACATTATATATTTACTAAACAAGTTTAAATTTTGGGCAAAATAGAATTACATTAATCTTTAAATCAGTAGTACCTTGAAAACATGAATGCACCATGCATTTGTTTTTGGAGGAAATTAAGTGTTGTTAAAATGATTGACATGTTGAGTATGCTCATTTCAGAGGCTGATGGTGATTTTGAGTTATTTATGTGGATTGAAAATAATTGGGGACTCTTCTTAGTCCTCTAGTGCAATAAACTTTTTGAATCTATTGGGATATTTAACAATCTTAGCAGGGTTGGTCTGAGTGAACTGTGACAAGACACTCAATTTTATCCATCGTGTCAGTTGACCAGCTTAGGGATATCCACACATATTATTCTGCAATGTCAGTTAAACCTGGTTAATAATATATCTAGGATACTTAGTCAAATTCAAATCCATTTGAGATATAATTTTAAGACAAAACAAGCTGTGTTTGGATTATTCTCCAACAGTAATCCAAACATGCAGTCATTATTTGGGACATGTATTTATTGCATAATCTTGTTATAAAACCTCAAAACTTCGGATATCTTACTATCCATTGTTGACCATAACTATTTAAGCAGATGGTACATAAATCTCACTTTTGTTTAATCCTAAATGTTGTTATCATGAAGTACATCTTAACCATTTATCTTATCTGATCATGTTTTACTTGTAATGTGCAACTCCAGCATATTGCAGGGCGCTTGGAAAGAGAAGGAGGTTCTGCTGATCCACGTATAAGGGGTCAGGTACAGTCAGAGTCAGTGCAAATAGGACTTGCTATGCAGCATTTGGGTGCACTTCTACTTGAACTTGGCCGGACTATGTTGACACTGCGTATGGGACAAGCTTCTGTATGTTTTCGTTCTTTTTTTAGGTGATGTAGTTTACTTTATTGTGTCAACATATCATTCATTCACGATAGCTTCCAAATCTCAGGCAGAAGCGGTTGTTAATGCTGGACCAGCTGTTTACATTTCTCCATCAGGACCAAATCCTATAATGGCTCAGGTTTGTCAGCTATTTTTATTTTCTATTATAAGTTCATTTATGGTGATGCCTCATGCCATGTTTAATTATTGAAATGTTGACTGATGTTTCAGCTAAGTTTATTAAAACTTAATAAACAATATGTTGTTGATACTCTGGAACTGGAGCTGTAAATTTTACATGATTAGCATGGTTTAACAGGGTTGAAGTTTGAAAGAAAAACAATTGATAAGCACTTTCAAACTTTCAAATCTTCGTATTGTAAAATACATTTTATGTTGAAGATATATAAAAGATTCCTCTTATATGCGAGAAAAATGGTGAATTTTCATTTAACTAGGTGATGAATAACATTCTGTCCTGCAAGGAGAGCGGCAAATAATGTCAATGAATGGATTACTAGAATGACTGCAAATTGTAACTGCTTATGGTTCATATAAATGAAGGAGAAATCATATATCCTTTTTTGTTTGAAAATGTAGTTTTTAAGAAGAGATGAAAATTATAGCTTGGGTCTGAGTGAGATATCTTTGAAAGCAGACTAGAAAAGAGAAATTTGAAAAACAGTAATAGAGCAGCAAGGTTGCAGTCTTCTTTTTCATAGAGAATTTTTTTTTATAAATTGGAATGATTCAGTTCTAATCATGTACTTGGAATGTAGTTTCATATTGCATTTTGAAGATGTACACTATATTGGACTTGGTTTTACTAGTTTAGTTCATTATCGTAGGAAGTGTCTCTAAATTTATACACTCATCCCTTGAAGATGTAGATGATGTCTCTTTAGTCCTCCAAAACAATTGGGATAATTTAGCCCATAAATTAGAAGCCCAATTGATTTCTCATTACATTTTATTCATGTTGGTATTAAAGCTTGTACGATTCCGCTCTTTTATCAATCGTCACCAAACCATTACTATCTCTGTCTACACAACCGCCTATCGCCATTGTTTGATGAAGTCACGGTTATGAGACAACATTGTGAGACACTACGAAGAAATGAACTATGACTATGTTTCCCTAATTGACATGACTCACATAACAAACTAGATAATTTGGATAAACCGAGAACAAACTGTTGCAATTTGGCAAGATTGGGGTGACCTAGCTGAGCACGGAGGAGTGATGGAGACTCCATAACTGTGCCAACATATGTCGAAGGGCGGAGATGATAAAGACCATAAGACTTACATCCAGTGCCAATCATCTGTCTCGAACTTCGGTCCTATAAACAAACAGAATCTTCGGTAAAAGAAATAACACAATAAAGAGAACGAATTAGACGACTAATGGATAATAAGTTAAAGGGAGACCCAGTGACATAAAGAACATTATCAATGGATAAAGATAAAGATGGAAAAAGTTTAATAATACCAACACCATGAGACAAAACCCTAGACCCATCAACCATTGTAATCGAAGGTAATTATCCGGAGAGGATAAAGAAAATCACAAGGATTTATTCCTAGTAATATGATCTGTGGCGCCTGAGTCAAGAAGAAGGAGATTGAGTCACAAAAGATGTACTTGTGCGCGTAACAAAAGTAGTGGAACTAGAGATCTGACGATCTTCATACCATTTGAAAAATTCATTGAAAGTAGCAGATTTGTCTGCGGTACAAGAGGAAGTAGGATCCACACTAGATGATTGTGAGGGAGGATCAGTTTGGAATTGCAGTAGGTCGAGGAGGACGATCATGTAATGCATAACATCTATCAATCTTGTGGCCTAACTTGTGACAATTATCGCACTTGTGACGCCCTTTTCTTGGCTTGCAATTATCACGATGAGATGTCAAAGCAAAGGAATCATCGGCAGAAGTAGATATATTATTGATGTGTTTACTTGGCACATGCAAAAGGGTGGAACAAGTAGAAGTGAAATTGGGCACAATAGGGGAATCCAAAATTTGATCACGGACCTGGGAATAGTTGTCAGCAAACCCATGTAATGCCAATAACATGAAGAACTTTGACTGTTGCTCTAGTTCTTGGGTAGGAGTAGAAGCAGGAGGTAATAACTCATTAAAGTCATGGAGAAAAGCATGAGTTTTACCCAAATATTCAGTCATTGGGTTGTGACTTCGAGGAGCAACAACATTGAGAAGATCGTGACAAACCCCATAAAGACATTGAGTGTCATTAGTGTATAATAAATTTTCATGTTCCCAAACCTCGGAACACGTTTTGTAGGCACAAAAAATATGCTTTAAAGAGGAGTGAATGGTAGACTTGAGAACGATGCATAACTGAGCATCAATTTTCATCCAACGGGAAACTTCACTAGTAGCAATGGTAGTCACATTCTGAGTAAAATGATCAACATACCCCTGACTCTTAAGCCAAAGTTTAATGTCTGACGCCCAAGTCGCATAATTAGTGTCATCTAACTTATCAATAGACAAGTGCACATTCACATAATTAGTATTGACTGACGTGTCAGACATATTGGTGGTAGAAGAAAAGATATCAGAAGAGGCAACGGAAGGAGCCATTGAGGAAGAGAGAGAAAACCCTAAAGACTTTAAATAGCACGTGGAGACTCTGATCGTGGCGATCTCAATGGCGCGGTGGTTGCCTAGTCGAGACAAGAAGAAGGTGCGGTTGCCGGTTTGAGTTGTAATTCTAGTAGTGGCGGTGGCGGTGATGGTGGCGGTTCTAGTGACTGCTCCGGCGGCAGAGGCAGTGGCTGCGGCGGTGGCATATGCAAGGGCAGTCGACAAAAGAAGAGAACCTTAGCTTTAGATACCATGTTGAATATAGTGAAAATTAGGTATAGGGTTAATTCCTTTTGTGTCTTAAAATATACATAGGATAATATATTTATAATTAGAGTCATACAAGTAAATATGGGAAATGCATATATTGTGACTAATAGTATCTAAAATATCTAAAATATCAAACACAATCCAAACCCAAACCCAACACAAAATTTTGTAAAAAGTAAACTCACCTATGAGCCTCACCTACCATAGTTGTTGCAGTAGCCACCAATTGCTTTACCACCAGCTGTGCCCTGTTTTGCCATAGCATGCAACCAGTTATGCACTGCCTTCAATGTTTTTGTCATCATTAACTCGCTTTAGCATCACATGCCCATGTGACTAGTTTTGCTGCTGCCTATGGCGTTTTCCGTCACTATTAACGCGCTACAGCACTGCATGCGACCAATGCTTTTTGTAAGCTTTGACTCACTGTGCACCACTATCAAACCATTGTAGGGCGATCTCATTTCCCCCTTATCTCAATGCACTGCCCTAGTCCATGTTGTTTTGTTCTCATTTTTTTTTTCTAATACCTTGTTCGATCTATTTGTGTTCTCCTCTCCCCCTTTTTACCCTTCTTTTCTACTCGATACTCTTTCTTTATAAAACTAAACTTCTGAATATCTATTTTCCTATATCCTAATGGCAACCCAACAAGCAGAACAACTCGTGAATATCTGGAGGTTGTGTAAACTTTGTAATTATATTTTTGCATCATTTATTTATATATTGTATTTTTGTGTCTGCACTACTTCCGCGAAAAACTATTGTTACCATGGTAATCAAAAACACAATTCGGAATATAACATCATACAAACCTATGATCTTCTTCCCCTTCTCTGAGATCATTTGTCATCTTATTACGAATTTTAAGGATCATGATGATTGTAGTTCAAGATTGAGACTTGCGTGGGTGTGGTGTTGCATGGATGCAGTGTAGCATCATGTGGGTGGCGATGTCTCTTGTCAAATAGTGTAGTGACATCTCTATTGCATGATTTGGCGACAATGTTGTGAGTGTAGTGGCTAGACGTGTGGGTTTAGAGGCTATGTCACATGAGTGTGATAGTTGTATCATCTCTCTTGCAAACAAAATATTTCTATGCTATTGTGTTTTTCACCTAAGTTTATCTCACACACCAATGCAGTTAGGTTAAATCCTTTTTAAAGCCCAATAATAACCCATTTGTTATCCTTTAAAGCCCAATATGCATTGCTCTTAAAAGTCCAATATTATCCAACTTTCAGCCTAAAAAAAATAACGAGACTTTTTGTAAGGCATAAAGTGAAGGAGAGGTTAGTAAGCTAGTTAGCATGTGAATCAGTTAGTTGCTTGAAGTGTTATTTAGATACAAATAGGGTAAGAGCGATAGGAGAAGGGGGTTCATCTATTTTATTACCTTGGAACATAATAAACTAAACAAGTATAAAAACAAATTTAGTTTTTTATATTTGGTTGACAAGTTCCATTGAATACTTGTTTTTGCTTTTTATATCTTTTTTCTTACTCCCCAGTGTAAAGAACAATGTAGTCAAAATCATAATCTTACTCAAGATTGAAAAGGAAATTATAAATTGTAAATTGATATGGTAACACGAATTATAAGAGCCTTCAAAATTTATTAAATTCATATATATGCCAAATATTTAGACTTCTATTCGATATGATAAGCATAAAACAATATAATAAGCACAAAAGTAGCAAGTCAATAGATGGAAACCATAAATCCTTCATAGTAATATTAATGAGGTGGAGAGAGAAAGATGGAAGTGATTAAATAAATTAATAATTATAATTTGAATTGGCAATTGTTTACGTAATAAAAGAGGGAGCGGAAAAGTCTCATTTTTGGTAATTTGTAGTGTTGCATAAGCAAGTGACAATGTCCGTTTTTACACAAGAGAAGAGGAAAAGTCTCATTGTTTTTCTAGGCTGAAAGTGGGAGAATATTGAACTTCTAAGAGCAACGCATATTAGGCTTTAAAGGATAAAAAATGGTTTATTATTGGGCTTTGGAGAGGATTTAACCTAATTCCATGGGTGTGTGAGAAATAAACTTAGGTTAGATGGCTGCCCACCCACGCCACATAGCTGTCTCATGGCACCCACACGATGCAACCATCGCACCCATGTGACACTGTAGTTATACTGCTCGATAGAGACTTTATCACCCACGTGATTCTGAAACCATGGAACACTACCCCCACATATTGATCCCATGTGATCCCAATAAATTGAAATCAAATGACACGTGAACTTAGAGAAGGGGAAGAGGATCGCAGATTTATGTTTTCAATCACGATTTTGACTTCCATGGTAAAGAATCTAGGATTCAACCCAAAATATTTGTTTACTTATTCTTTCTCTTTAGTAATAGAAGTAGGAGAAATTCGTTAAGATTGTTAGAATACTAAATAGTTAGTTGATTAGAGCTAAATAGGGGAAGAAGGATGGGAAAGATTAAGATCGGTGTATATTGTAAAATGAGGCTTGTCTCCTTGTAAAACAGGAAATACCTTTTCTTTTTATTCATTTAAAATATTTATTTTCCATCACTTTTTAATTGTTGGTTTCTAAGAGTAACTGTTATGGTCCAATCTCTTATCGGACCTGGAACAGTATAGTCTGACTGTAAATTATTAGATTTTCATTTCTGCTGCGGGCTATTCTGTTAAAAAATTTGGAGTAAATTCTAGAGAACTCAATAATGTTCCAAGAATAAAGAGCACTGTGGAGCTTTTTGAAAGTTTTTGCTTATCCTTTTTTTTTTTTTTTTTTTTATTACTGCAAACTAGTTTAACATGTTGGAGAAATTCATGCTGTGAAATGGGGAGATATGATGTGATTTGATAGGCCAATATCTCACCAAATATTTCTCATTATTAGATATTGATTTTGTTCCTTATTGTTATATATCTTCTTCATTGTAAATAAGAATAATCATGTGTACACAACAAGGAATTTGTTATATTGCTTCTCGGTTTCTTTCTCCTCAGCATGGTACTAGAAAAGTATGTTCTCCGTTTTGTCACTAATCCTTTCTAGAATAAGAAACAGAATACTACTTGTCTTATTTCTATTTATAAGAAACATTGTCCTATTTTCAAACTTATCCTTGTTTACATATATACCCTAGAATTATTAAGAAATGTAGTTACAAGACATAAATGTAAGGATAAATTTGGAATGGAACTATAATTTATGGTATCATTTATTAAAAATAACTAATTTAACAATCTTTATTGGCTTAGTAAATTATTTATTTGTTTCTTATAAATTGGAATAGAAGTAGTAACAATTATTGAAAATTGCGTAACGAAGAAAAAAGTAGTTATAAGAATCTTTCAAACATTGTAAAATGCTATGCTAACAGGTGATAGTATCAGTCTAAGAGACCAAGATATTTATAATCTCAGCATGTAAGACACTCATCAAGCATAGAGGACATGGAGCTTATGTTGATTTATTAATGGCAAAAGCTTAAACTATTAGGTGAAGACACATGAAAGGTTTTTATATTACATTTCATGCCCCCTCACGCTAGAGTCTTTTTGTGCTTGAAGCATGGATAATGACAAAGTTCTCCTACCTTGTAGTTGAAATTCAACTTTTATAATTACGAGAAGTATCAACCTCTATAGTCTGATGATAAAGGCTTTAGAAGTATGTCATGATTCAAACAAGATTGAATGGTATCTATATTACATGCCTAACTAATGGTTCCTCCAATACTTCCTTTGCCTTTGTGGACAAACATAATTAAAACGCACTACTTTGTCAACCAAGTTTGATAGATAGGAGATCAAAGCAAGCATGTGGATTGGAACGAGTTCAGTCTAGTAATCACACAACAACAAAGGCATTTTGCATCTTCCTAACTTATTGCTGATGTTGGAATTTCAGTTATCTGAATTTTAATCATGTCATTTGGGGTTGCGCAATTAAGTTGTGGTTCACTAGGGGGGGTAATTGTGTGTACTCATGGAAGTTCAAATTAACCAAAATCTGCCTCTTATTTGGTGATCATGTTCCTATCTCTCTGGATTGTTTTAATAGTTTACATTTACTATTTCTGGTTCTGATGAAATTGTGCTATTTGCAGCCTTTTCCACTACAGGCAAGCTCCCTCTTTGGTGGTCCAGTTCCTTCCTCAACTCCTGCAACTTTAGGCACCGTTGGTATTGGAAATGCTCCTAGGAACGTAAACATTCATATACATGCTGGTAAACAAAAATAACTGTACTTCAACCCATGAAGTATTCAACTTTCATTAATTTTACTTTATACCAGGTACCTCTCTTGCACCAATTGTTTCAGCAATTGGTTCTAGGCCAAATAATGGAGAAGGGGCAAGAAGTGAGCAGCATAATGAACCTGGTTCTAGTGATTCAGGTTCGACACAGGTATTACCTGTTAGAAATGTCATAGCAGCAACTATCCCATCACATCCTCCTGGTGTTGAAGTCTCTGGCAGCACACAAACTGGGTTTGGTGTTTCTACTTCACAGCCACCTGATTCAGCTTCTCTTGTAGCTGCAATTAATTCTCGCATTAGGAATATTGTTGAAAGTATGCATGGAAATAACACAGTTTCATCAGGTGATCACCAATTTAAGGTTTCATTATACGTAGTCTTTTGATAAATTAGCATTTAATTTCAATGCACTTATTTACATCCATTCAGGGGACATGAACTTGTCTACTGGATTTGAATCAAGACCCTCTACACTAAATGCACAGCAAGATACCATGGAGATGAATGGCTTTGAGGCTGCCAGTTCTTCCTCAGTTGGCTGCGCTGATGAAAGTGAAGTACAGAAGGTGATACTTTTGCACATACCTTGTGATACATCTGTCTCCTACATGCTTAGTTTTTAGTTGAATAATATTTGCGTCTAAATCATCTTCAGCTCCGAACCGAAGCAGTCCAAACCTCTAATAATAATGAAAGAGATGTTTTGGTTGACAAATTTGTCTCAAGTTCTTCCAAACAAGATTTACAAAGTTGTTCTAGTGGAGAAACTATAGTAAAACCAGAAAAAGAACAAGATGTTCCAGCTGTTAGTGAGAGACAAGATGTAACTGAACCTTCCAAATCTGCTCCACTAGGGCTGGGTGTGAGTGGTTTAGAGCGCAAGGTAAGCTTATTGGTTATGGTTTTGTGCATAAAATGTCTGAATTTCTCAGTTGTTGTGCCATGCTAATATTTTCATAATATTTGAATGGCTGATGAATGAGCCTTTTTATTCTCTTAAAATTCATATATTTGTCTTTTGAAGTTATATTCTATAATGATTTTGCAGCTTTAAGCATCCTTCTATATTTTGTCAATGTGAACACATGATATTATTCAGTATATATTGCTACGAAGTAATCAATTTGAACTAATTGTAAGTTAGCATGTGGTATCCAGGGCTTTGGATTTGGATATTGTGCCATGTAGGCTTGTATCTTGGCAATTGAAGAAAATATTTATATCAGGTATTAGCTAGAAACTAAAACCATTTAGATTTAGGTTTTGATTGTTTTGTGTCACTGCTTGGTCAGATTTGCAATGAATCCCATTCCTCGGTGAAGCATTATGGTTGATTGAGCCATCCTGCTTTTTAAAGATTTTCTATTAGGAAACAAAGAAAGCAACTTACAGTATTTTTGAAATTATGAAATAAAGTGAAAACAAAGTGGCAAATTCTCTCCAACCAAAAGCTTACCTTGATAGGAGCATGTTTACCATTCTACCCTCCCTACAAAGTTGACACATCCTTGTCCTGGTGCCATCCACGTGATGGGAGTAACAACAGTATACCCATTCCACTCTTTCTCCATTGTTTGTGTGGGGCTTTCCTGTATTGTTTTGGAAACATTTATATTTAAATTATTTACTTCCAGGGGTGTGGAATGGGAAATATTGATATACTTGTAAATTGTAATACGGGAACATTTATGTTAATGGATGAAAAACCCAAAAATAAGTCATTTGGTGGCAGCCAAATATCGTAAAGGAAAAGGGGAAGTAATGAAATTTTGAACTGTGGAGTGTTATGTAAAATGGCAGCTTATTAGCTCATAAAATACTAGTTTAGTCCCTGAAAGATTTAAGGACTGTCACATTAGTCCCTGAAATATGAAAATGCTGATCAATAGTCAATTTCAGGGTTTACATTGATGTTTAAAAAAGGAATACATTGGTCGACCGTTTCAACTTTATGAGATGAAAAGGTGATTTTCATGTTTTAATGACTAATGTAACTAATCCCAAACCTTTCAGGGGCCAAAATAGTACTTCAATTGAGTGTTACCATTGTATTGTGTACATTAACAAATTTGTGCATTAGCACAGACCTTTGGTTGTCATGATTTGGAATTCTATATATCTCTGATCTTCTGAATGTTTATTTCATGGCATAACTATATATTCTTGACTTACCCTACGGAAATTTGCATGCCAAAACAGAAGCGAAACCGACCTCAACCTCCTGTGAGTAAAAATGGTGATGATGGATCATCCAGTTCTTCTGTAAATCAAAATCAGCAAACCAGAACAGATGGTCAACATATATTACAAACTCTTGCAAGTCATGGATCTGCTTTGAATTCACATGTTAATGGGCCACCCCAGCGGCACTTGCCCTCTGGTAATCGCTCGATTGATGTGGCTGGTTTAATGTCTCAAGCTTTACAAAGTCCTGCTTTGAATGGTTTGTTGGAAGGGCTTTCACAGCAAACCGGAGTTGACTCACCTGATGGTTTGAGGAATATGTTGCAGCAGTTCACACAGAGCCCACAGCTGATGAACACAGTCAACCAAATTGTCCAACAGGTTGGCAGTCAGGATATGGGAAATATGTTTTCTGGAGCGGAAAGAGGCCAGGGTGGTGGTATTGACATATCAAGGATGTTTCAACAGATGATGCCCATTGTATCTCAAGCTCTTGGTGGGGCAAATCCCTCACTGTTCTCTGTTGAAGAAGCAGAGCCCCGTGCACCCTACCAAGATGGAACAGTTAACAGAGATGAATATTCTGATCATCAAAGTTTACAGGTTTGTGTCCATTTGATAACAGAATGTCACTGCCTGTATTACTGGCCCTCCATGTTTAGTAATTTATGTGCATTGTTAAGAACCATAAATTTTCTTACATATTTTGTCACAAGATAGAAGTCCTCTTCCATTAGTATTGGTTTACTGGAAGCTTCATATTACATTTTTTATGAGGTAAGTTCCTCTTCGACAGAAATTTAAAATGAGAATACATGGAGTATTGTTAACATGTTGCATTTTGTGACTAGTTGATGCTGTATCTCTGCTCTTATGATTTGTGCTCTCAGCATTATTTGTAGTTTACTTTTTATTAGTGAGACTTGCTTGTCTGGATGAATGATATTTCCAGGTCCTACTTCGACTGTAGGACCCTCTACCCATCGCTTCCAAAATCCCCAAAAGAGATTTTTGGCTGCACTCTTCTAATAAAGTTGTTATCAACAATGAAGCTGCAAAATAAGGGAATTATGGTTAAAAATTTGGTCACAACATTCTTTATTCTTTGGTTTGTCCATTATCAAGTCCTCCTGCTATACTACACTTGTCCTTCATTATAAATTCCTAATTCGCATCTGTCGTATTTACTACCAAAAATCTTTCTTGCTCTGATTTTTTTATTTCATGAAATTTTCAACTAAAATTGCTGTCGGTAGCCCCATCCTTCAAAAACTTAGTTATATATCTGAGATATGGTGTTTTCTGTTCCCATGAACTAGTTGTGAGCCGACCCCCCTTTCCCCCCAAAGAACATTAACAATCCATGAGTGGAAGGTTTTTTTTTTTTTATTCTCTTAAACCTGTAGTTTTTGCTCTACTAAACACAGTATTTTCTGGTTCGGTAGCCGACCGAGGGTTGAACTATTCTGTTGAAAGATGGGATTGTGAAACTGACTTTGTTAGCTGGGCCAGCCCGGGTGACCCAATTATCCATGGGAGTTAGGGCCATAAACTTACAGACCTGTTTGGCACAGCTGGCAAGTCCGTGTGGCCTGTTAATGAAGCCCTTTTATGCTTAATTAATTAACTTGCTTTATTACTAAGTAGTTAAATGGGCTGAACGTCCCCCAAGTAACTTTTTGAGTGAACACAGATTGCTTCTTAGAATAAACACTTCTAATAATTTGTTTTCTAAGCTGAAATGCTATAACAGTAGTCCTATTGTGACATTTCGCTTGTTTTATCCAGCTCGACCTTCAACCACTGGCTGAGAGGATTGAGCATTTGAGTCCTACAGATATATTCCGTGCTGTAGCTGACAATACTGTCCAGTTATCTGGCACTGGAAGCGCTTCTAATGATCTTCTGAATGAGTTATGTAACAATGAGAGTCTTGCCAGGGTAAGTAGTCCTTTATGTTGTTCTTTGCGCGCTGAAACTTGTTTGTTGCGCTGCCTTAATATACAAATCATTTCTTCTAAACTCTTGATGGTTTATGCCCTGTTATCAAAAAATTATTTTCTTGGTTGTGCAGGAATATGTAGATATGTTGCGATGTGATTTAAGTAAGCGGCTCGAGGGACATTCTGAGCCGGACAAATTCTAATTCTAGAGTTTATGAATACATATTTTCTGCTGCATTGCATCTATTGTGTCACAACTCTTGACCTTCCCGAAAGTTCTTCTAGAAAATGAGTTATGGTGTGTAGTGTCCTAAATAATTGATTGATCATTTTGACGGACTTACTGATCATGTGCGACAATTAACTTACACCACATGCCATTTGGGTGTTTGAAATATAGAAGCATTGAGGCGTTGACTATTTCTTCCTACACCAATTTTCCTCTCTTACATTTTGTTCATTCCAGAATGAGCTTTTCAGAATGTATTCAAGAATGTAAAACTACATTCTAGAAGGCCCATTGCATAATGAATGGAAGGTGGGAGAAGAAAATAGTGAGATGTAGAAAGGTGGAACATGAGAGGCCTTTAATGGCCTTCCACTGTCACATTTTTATGTCTTTTCTGACTTACCCTCTTTTGTGCTTAATTCAGACAGTGGATGTTCCATCAAATAGTCTTGGACATCTGGCGCTTCCATAAATGACTGAATCTGGTTGCATTAGCATTACAACTATGTTTATCCAGGATTGAAGTATATTTTAAAGACCGGGGACTATTTGAAAAAAAATAAAAAAATCAGCACTTCTGTACCATGTATTTGTTTTATTAATCTCATGATTTTTGGTATGTATGATTATTTATTATTTTTTTAAAATGATTATATATCAAATATATATATCCATGTTGAACATATTTACTCCCATTTTTACTTATCAAACTAAGTATATTTTTCTTAGGTTGGTTCATCTCGAACTAGTTTTTTCCTTTTTCTTTTCACTCTATTCTAAACTTTCCTCATTATAAATTATAGTCTAAGGTTCAATAATGAAGGAAAATAAATTAGATAAAATGATAAAGAAGATATGTTTAACTTTATACAGTAGTTGTAGTAACAATAATACACTTTCATCTAAAATCCTTATAATCTTTATTTTGTGTATATGGCATTTCCGTTCCTCCAATTATCATGCTCCGAATTTGACTTGTACTACTAGAGTGGATACTATATAAAAAAAAAACCGCATTGTGGAGTGTGAATGAAGAATATTAAACTATGTAAATTAGATAAACTTTTTCTCCTTATTAACCACCTTGCAATGGACTTATTTTCCAAATTATCGAATAATTAAATAGTTTTGTTAATGAGTTGATATTTTCATTTTTTGTAAAACATGTCATAGATTCAGTTCTGTTGTAGTTGTCGGGGGTGTTTGTTAAGCCATTGTGTCCAATGCTCTGGCCTGCATCATCATTCATGCATGTGGCTTAGTCTTCTTAAGTAACATAAGCTTTGGTATTGTAGCATTTTTAAAGCTCTCTATGCATTCATACCCAAAATAAGATAATTTACAAATGGTTTGCTTAAATTTGTTAGTTTTCCAATTACTTCTACTCAACAGAAGTTTGAATTTAACAGAATCTTCCCTTGGAGATGTTGAAGTTGCAGAAAAGATGTTCAACCATGCTATTAATGCATCTCAAGATGCTTGTTTCTACATCTATAGTCAACAATTAGGATTTGATCAACATATTTGGAGTAAAAAAACACCATGTGATGTGATGCAGTGAGTTGTCATAATATACAATTGGATTTAGTTAGTGACACATTTTCATTAACTAAGCTAGAAGGTTATAAGTAAACAAAGTTCACCTCAGTTTAAGAATTTTGATTTTGTTGACTTGAAGATTATAATATCATAATGTATCTAAGGACCGGGATCGACACATATAATTGAAGTTTTTTTTTATTCTTAAATTTTTAATTATCTTTTAGATCTTAGTTTTTTTTTTTTTTTTTTTTTTTGTATCCTCATGATTTTCTCCTTTTCACTAAATTTCTTATGTAATTTCATGAAAAATTGAAAATGAAGAAGAAATAATTTCTCTTTTACAATTTTTTTATTAATAAGATATGATTTATCTGGACATCACACATAACAATTAAATATATAAATTTGAGGTGTTTGTGGTATGGTTTGACTTTTTTTTATCAAAAAGTCGTTCAAACCAAACATAAAATTTAAAATGTTGTTTGTTTAAATAAAAAAAAAAACAATATTTTATGATTTTTTATTTATAAATTTGTTAAATATATTATGATAAAATAATTATTAAATAAAAATATATATTATAGAATCATAGTATATAATTAATTGTGATATTTATAATTTTAATTTAATTTTTTATATTTTTGCACTTAATTTAAATAATAAAAATATATAATCTAAAATTTATAAAAAAATAATTGACTTACTTCCTGTAAGTGTTATTTATATTTTAATTTCAACAATATATATTATAATTTTAGTTCAATTTGGGTTGATGCTTGATTATTAAACCGAAAATCGAAACAAGTCAATATGTTTTAATATTTTTCAATCCAAAAATATCTAAAAAATAATAATTTCAATTAATTTTAAATTTTTTTATCAATTTTTTATTTTATTTTTTATTAGTTCAATAATATAAATGTTTCAATATAACACACCACACAGTTTTCATACCGTAGAATTTTTGTAGCTAAAATGATAAATTTTTAAAGAGATTAAACTGTTAATATATGATATTGCTTGGAAATAGGTGGATCTTGTGGTTGGCATAAAATGCCAACTAATCAAACAGGAGGAGATTTTATGGGTGTGAATTGACAGAATTTGGAGTGAGAAAAAGTTTGAAGGATGATTAATTACTCAAATCACATTGACTTCATTGACTTTTTTTTTTTTTTTTTTTTTTCCTTTTTTCCTTTTTTCTTTTCATGTGCATGAGTCTAAAAGGAACCAAAGCCAAACACAACACAGACAAGACATTTGAGCGTAACATGCTCTGGATTGGAATGTTCCTTCTAACTCCTTTCCATCCACAGAAAAAGGAGCTTTAAATGGTTATGTACGTGTATATATGTTTGGAGCACTATCTAATCTACTTTTTTGGGGACATAATACTTAACTGTTCCTTAAATTTGTTATTTAACATCAAAGCAAAGCCACGTAAGTTTTAAAATACAATAATAATAGTTACTTTTTTCTATGATTTTTCATATGTCCTTTTCAAATTCATTTGAACAACAGCTTAGTTCTTTTCTTTTAAAAAATCTTTTTAAATAAATTTATTCTTACAAAAATTATGAGATGGTCCACAAAATTATAATTGTAGGACATTTTAATTTTTATTAAATGGCTTTTTATTTCACTATTATTTATAGTATTAATATAGCCTCACTCTTTTGAAAAACAATTGAACGAATGTCAACCTTTTCAAGTTGTCCAATAATGAAGAATTAGTAGGTATATCATCAATTTATTATCTATACTAATTAAGTTAAAAAAAATAATACAGTTATTTTCTTTATAGATTATCAATCTATTATGTTTTTATAGGATGTATTTTTATTTACATAATTTTTTTTAAGGTAAATAGATAATAGAGAGACAAAATATATATATATATATATATATGGTGAGAAAAAGAAAAAAATCACTAAGAAAGAAAAAAAAACATAATAATCTTAAAAAAGAGTTAGTTTGGAGAATACATTTTCTTTATCAACTATTTTGTATTTTATTTCACTATTATCTTTTTATATACCTACCACTTATTAGTAAAGAGAAAATGTTCTCTTAATGTTAAAGGTTTCCAAGAGAACTTGTATTATATTTATTAATTATTATTAGTTGAAGTTAAGATCTTATATATTTTTCTTTTATATTGAATTTTTTTTCACATTAAAATTTGGTACTGACTTATTTCTTATCTTTTTTAATTTTGGTACATCCAACTATTATTAAATTTATTGCTTGATATTTTTCCAAAACTTTAAAATAAAATTTGGATTTTGTTTTCACTTTTCTCTATATATTATTATCTTTCCAACAACCTGTATGAGAGCTCAAATTAGGAGTTATATTTTTTTTTTTATTTAATATGGGAGATGATGACGTTGGAACTATGATTAAATTTTATATATAATAGTTAAGTTTTATATGTTAACACATTTAAATATTATTCATAATGTGCCTTCATTATTAGGAACATGATCAGGAATATGCACTTATTCTTCTACAACATGCTCAATTTCGAGTTAAAGGAGGTAATTTTGATTTTAATTTACCAAAATATATATTTTTTAAAATATTATGGACTTAAGTAAATTATGATATATAACACTATTTTAGTATGATGTTATATTGAAGAAGTAATTTTTTTTTAAGAAGTCATAATAAGAAACACAACTTACGTTAAGGTATTTTTTTTAATTGATTAGGCATTAATTATTTAATTTAAATACTTGTATAATATATATATATATATAATTATTTAATTTAAATAAATATGTTGAATAAATTATGTGTAGTAAATGAGACGTAAATTAATAATAATACATTAGAAGATAATTAAATATTACAAATTTATTGTCTATTTAAATAATTTTTTCGATTATGTTGAAGTTTTTATTATTATTTGCAATTAGTTGATCCATTTCATTGCAAATATGACTAGTTATTGGCATTGGTATTAATTTTTTTTTTGTTGCATAGGATTATGAATGAAATTTGGACTTGTATAGACAAACTAATAATCTTCATTTCAAATAGGATAGAATTAAAGTTCATAACTCTTTTAAATGTTTTCTAACCTATACACTAGATAAAAAGATGTGTCTAATTGTAAATGACAAGAGGAATATACAACAATAACATAACAACAAGGAAGTTGGAGAATTTGAAACTTCTTATAGTCACACCATAATTCATTTAATATAAATGTGTAGCTCATTAATCTTCATGAAGTGGGGAATTTGATACTTGGGGAATTTGATACTGCTCCGCATCAAACTCTTAACTTTCTTCTTTATGCCTTTGTATATAACACATGCAAACATGTTGTTCATTTTCTCTAAGCAATATAGTAATATCTTCAGGATATGTTTGTCTTACTCTTAATATGTACTTTGTTTTAATGTCTCGTTCTAAAATCATAAT